TACCTAAAGCTTATATTAATTTTGAGATCATGTGTACTACTTACAACTTCAACTAAATAAAATACATAAGACGATTTTGTCCAACTCACTTTCAACAGTCTCCCATAATCGACTGATTCAACCTTGTTTTGTTTTACATTGAGCGTTTCCTGTGAAGTTTATGTTGGTAAATATTCTGTTTTCTCGCGCTCACTTTTTTGCTTCAAAATAGGTTTTTTTGAAATATTATTATATTCTCGCGATGAATCCATGACGTCACATCAAAATTGGTTCAAACCGTTTCGAAATACAATCCAATCCATGTTTTCAAACTATTTTGCCGTGCCAAGACGTTATGACGTCATATGACACTGTTTTAAACCAGTTTTGAACCATTTGAATACACCTCACAGACAGCCATTTGCACCGCTATAACTTAAGGGATATTTAATCCAAGTGAAGCTTTGAATGTGACTCTTGTAGAAACAAAAGTCACATTCAAAGCTTCACCTACATTTAATATCCCTTAAGTGATAGTTAAGGGATAGCCGTGCAAATGGTCATCAATAAATGAACTAAAGACCGGTTCACACTTTGATTAGAAGCAAAATGCAGGTGTGTAGTGCTAGTGTTTACTTTAAGTTAACTCTCAAAAGTAGTTTTATAATACCCGCCCTAAGTCTGTTTAGTACCACTTAACATTTGACACTAAACACTTAGTTAACAAAGTGTAAACCGGCCTTAAGTGCACTTGGATTGTGTTAACAGGGCTTAACAATATTCGTATAACAGGGCTGGGATTCTGTAACTGTATTCCTATTAACGTCCCCTCTCTATTTATTTCTAAAAAAGAGAAGATGGCAATAAGTGCCATAGCGACGGGGATAAGGATCAAAAGATCTACTTTATCCGTTACAGAGTCCCAGCCCAGGTGCTCGATGAACCATTGGTCTGTTCCAATTGGGTTTAAAATAGAATTTTTGATCATTTCTGACACTTGATTGGCATAGAAATTCAAACTTTGAATATTCTCGGGTCTTGATTGGTTTCCAAAGTCAATTTTTGAATTTTCCCGGTTCTTGATTACATGTTTAGAAATTGAATTGTTGATTATTCTTGTTATGTATTTACTATTCCGAGGTATCGAAGGGTGCCAATAAAACGAGGATTATGAAATATTAATATACTATTGAATAGGTAAATTAGCAAGTCGTCTCCGGAGCACATTGCTTCATTTCGGTTTCTTGATAGTCTTGATACAGACTGTCAATCGTCAACCTTATGTCCAGGAAAAAAAAATAAGATTTAGCAACAGCGCAATACTGTTCCTGCTCTCCCTCAAGGATATTACACACTACTATAGGATTGCTCATCGGCCTCAATTTTTGGAATCAAGGTCATATGGTGTTGCACCGTTGCCGACGTCATCAACGGTGCCGTTGTTAATTACCAAAAACCTCAGATTGTGTCAATTTCAATATGAGATTGTTTTTGTGTGGCACAATCCGAGGTTGTTGTTTGCTAACAAGGACTTGACTTACGATTGATCTCGTCCCATTAAATGGACTAAAAGCAAGTATATATAAAGCAAAAGTGAGCGGAATCATGCCTGTAGTGTAAACACCCTACGTCAAAGGCGAGAAACGACACGCTGTCTACGTCATGACTGGTGCTTTGGCGTGGTGGGGGCTTGAGATTTGATCTACATAGAGGCCATACGCGGATAGGCTATCCTATGACCTATGGTTGTCCTATCCTGTGTAGTGTGTAATAGTCCTTGGATCTACCTCTCCAACCGTCTCAATTCCCAACCCTGAATCATCATTCAGTGATGCCAGGGGAGACGTGTATAGAGATAGAGTGTACCTAATGCATCTGTTATCAGATATGTAGGATTTTTTTTTTTTTCAATAAGGGATTTTTTTCTCTGGTTCAACTTACTTTCCAAGGTGGCATCCCTAACAGGGTGTCCAAGATTCGATGGTTTTAGCGGGTTTCGGGTACCACTTGTAAGCCTCGATTTTCAAGAGAAGTTGACTCCTGAAGCGCGCATCTCGATTCGTTTTTAGGCTACAAGGGGAAAAGTTGACCAAATCTTCATAAATAAAAAAGTTATAGCTCCCCTGCCAAACTCCAAACTTTTCAAAAACCCCTCGTAGCATAAAAACGGCTCGACATATCGAGATGCGGTTTTCACCAGTCAATTTCTCTTGAAAATCGGGGCTCGCAAGTGGGGGTCAGATTTTTTCCAACTCTTTTATGGTCGTTTCCACCAACTATTTTAGGGGGGCCTTAACCATAAGTATTCCCTAAAATGACATTTTTACATGGAGAAATGTCAGTTTAAGGAATACTTATCGTTTGGGCTCCCCTAAAATAGTTGGTGAAAACGGCCATTAGAAATATCCCAAAACCATCAAATCTTAGACACCCTGTACACTCGTACACGAAATTTGACTGATAGCAATGTAAATTTAATGGAAAGTATTCGAAATCGTATCCAATTTCGTACGAGAGAATATTCCGACCCCGGTATCTGCGCACGTCGGTGCTTATTCTTAAGCCCCGTACACACTAATTCTCGGCTCTTGATTGGCTTCAATTTTTAAATTTTCTCGGCTCTTGATTGGGTTTAAAGTTGAATTTTTGATGATTCTTTACTCTCAATTGGTTTAGAAATTGAATTTTTTAATTTTTTCGGTTCTTGATTGGCTTTAGATTTTGAATTTTCCCGACTCTTGATTGGGTTTAAATTGAATTTTTGATCATTCTCGATTTTTGATTGGCTTGAAAATTGAATTTTTCAAACCCGACTCTTCATTAATTTAAAAATTGAATTTTTGATTATTTTCATTGGGTTAAATTTTTGAATTTTCTCGGCTCTTGTCTTGATTGAGTTTAAAATTGAATTTTCAATCATTCCCGGAATTTTTTAATTTTCTCGGTTCTTGATTGGTTTAGAAATTGAATTTTTGATTATTTGCGGCTCTTGATTGGCTTCAAATTTTGAATTTTTCCGGCTCTTCATTGTATTTAAGATTGAGTTTTTTTATCATTCCCGACTCTTGATTGGCTTAGAAATTGAATTTTTCAATTTTCCCGGCTCTTGATTGGGTTAAAAAATTCAATTTTTCAATTTTTTTGGCTCCTGATTGAGTTTAAATATTCAATGTTTGAATTTTCCGGCTTTTAAATCGTTTACAAATTCAATTTTTGAATTTCCCGACTCTTGATCGACTTTAAAATTGAATTTTAAAGCTAATCAAGAAATAGGAATATTCAAACATTGAATTTTCAAATGTCAAATTAAGCCAATCATCAAGAGGGAATATTTGAAAATTGAAATTTACAGCCAATCGAGAGCCGAGAATTTCTAAAAGCCATTGAAATTGACAGCCAATCAAAAACCGGGATAATTAAAAAAAAACTGAATTTTAGAACCAATCAACAACCGGAAATATTCGTACATTGAATTTTAAAAGGTCAAATCAAGAACCAGGAATACTTGAAAATTAAATTTTTTAAAGCAAATCAAGAGCCGCGAATTTACAAATATTGAATTTTTGAGCCAATCAAAAGCCGGGAAAATTGAAAAATTGAATTTTAAAACCAATCAATGACCGGAAATATTCGAACATTAAATTTTGAAATGTCAATTTGAGCCAATCAAGAGGCGGGAATATTTAAAAATTGAATTTTGAAGCAAATCAAAAGCCAGGAATAATCATTTGTTTGACTTATACTTCAATAAGGAATTCTCTACAAACCTGTCAGTTAAAATTTTAATTTGATTTCAAGTTTCAAGAGTTTTGCACCCTGAGAAGTTTTAAAACTGAAATTATCAAACATTGAAAATTTTTCAAAAATAACATTGAGACAGTTTCTGCTTCACAGCTTCAGTAATTTTCATCCGATTTCAATGTAAATAAGCTTCAATTAAAGCTATTTAAATTATCTACAAACCTATTTATTGAGATGTTAATTTGGCTCCAACAGTTTTGCACCTAAGAAGTTAAAAAACTGAAATTATCGAACATTGATTCCATAAATGACACCAAAACAGTTTCTGCTTCACAGTTCCATTAACTTTTATCCGAATTTTAATGTAATTAAACTCTAATTAAGTCCAATTGAATTCTCTACAAACCTATTTATTCAGATTTTAATTTGGTTTCAACAGTTTTTTACCTGAGAAGCTTCAAAATTGAATTTATTGAACATTGAGAAATTTCCAAAAATTACACTGAGACAGGTTTTGCTTTACAGCTCCGTTAGTTTTCATGCAAATTCAATTTTATTAAGCTCTAATTCAAGCTAATTAAATTTTCTACAAACCTATTTATTGAGATTTCAATTTGGTTCCAACAGTTTTACATTTGAGTAGCTTTATAATTGAAATTATCGAACATTGAAAATTTTCCAAAAATGAAACCAAGACAGTTTCTGCTTCACAGCTCCATTAGCTTTCAATGTAATTAAGCTCTAATTAAAGCCAATTAAATTCTCTTCAAACCTATTTATTCAGATTTCAATTTGGTTTCAACAGTTTTTCACCTGAGAAGCTTCGAAATTGAAATTATCGAACATTGAATGAAAATTTTCCAAAAATGACACTCTGAGACAGTTTCTGCTTCCCACCTTCAATAATTTTGATCCGATTTCAATGCAATTAAGCTTCAATCAAAGCCAATTAAATTCTCTACAAACCTATTTATTGAGATTTCAACAGTTTTGTACCTGAGAAGCTGGAACATTGAACTGAAACAATTTTTGCCTCATAGCTCCGTTAATTTTCATCCGATTTCAACGTAATTAGGCTCAAATTAAAGCCAATTAAATTCTCTTGAACCTGGTAATTAACATTTTAATTTAGTTCAATATTTTTCGAAACATCCCTGACTTTTCATAGAAACATAATTAGGTCTCCTATATAAAATGTTCTTCAATATTGTTTTCTAGTAGAGATATTTAAAAACAACTTTAATTAAAATTTAATTATTTATATTATGAAAACTAGACATTAATTTTTTGTTCCAGATGTGTTTGTGGATGTTGCCTGATCCCGTGCTGTATGGAGCAATGCATGGATATAAACCACAGTTGTCCGAATTGCGACTCTTATCTCGGAACGTACAAAAAGTAATCGGAGAAATTAATGCACAAAAAAAAAATAATAATAATAATAATAATAACATTGCATTTTAAGAGATTATTTTGTATATATAATGAGGCTGTATCTAATAAGTTATTATACGGATTTGCAAATCCAATTTATATAGATTTTACTAATGGTTGTTTAGATGACTAATTTAATTAAAAATGTTACACAAATAATTTCACGTTTTAGTTTAATGTATGGATTAATTACAACAGGCCCGGTCGCGCCGAGTCGCACATTCGATTTATAAATAATGTAAAACTGCTGCTAGATTTGAATTTTAAAAATAGCCCGATGACGAAATGTTTGCGAAAAAGAAAAACACACATTTGAGGTCAAAATTTGAATAAAATGGTCAAGTAAGTATGTATATGGGAATTGAGATTTAGTGCGGAAAATTGCATTTTACATTCAACTGTTGTTTTTGTGTTTGGTTAATTTATTTATAAAAACTTCTTGCGACATAATTTAAATTAACTACTTCTCAATTGTAATTATTTAGGTTTTTAATAAATAATTTAATTATTAAATTATATTCTTCTTGCCCACTTGTAACTTGAAATCTTCCTTATCTTTTTTTGAAATAAAAAACTCATAAGACACACTATAACTCTAGGAGATACTGTTTATTTACTTTCTAAATAAGACAAAAATCATTTAAATAACATAATTATACTTGATTATATCACCTATATATTCGGTTTTAAAAACACAACTAATAGTTTCTCATTTATTTTTTTTTTGTTTCTATATTTACACCAAAACTAAGTCTTATTTACAAGAATCAAACAAAATAAACATTAGTTTAGGTTGAACTATCACATTTTGCCAATAGTCAGTTATAATAATAGTCATCTGTGTTACACTTCCAATTCCTTCCTTTGTTTGGGTTAAAATTCATTGTGATGTTTTACCTCAAATAAGTAGAAAATACTGTCAAAAAATAACTAGTTAAAGTAAGATATTTGATTTCAAAAGTAAAAAAAAATAAATATTTATTCCAAACCGGGGTGTTGAACAGCCATCTAACTGCATTTTACATTCCCTTTCAGCACACAAACATATTTCCTGAAGGCGAATTGAAACCTCCACCTCCACATCCCGGAGGCGGAGGATCATCATTTTTCCTCGAATTATCTCTATTATTATCTCTAATCATTGGCAACCTCAAAACGCTCTCTGAATTATCCTTATTTACGGCAAGTTTTAATGCGTTAGATAAACCTTCGCAAGGCAAATCCTCAGGTTCAACCAAATCTTCTCGCAAATAAAACAAAATATATGGAGTCTCTGGAGGTTTAAGTAAATGTAAAGTTTCTTCGGTCGTTTTAGTAACGGCACTGTCGTTGAACTTGAACCACCCTGTAGAGTCTTTTGCAAAAGTGTAATAATGGCCAGAATCTACACTAGAGCCGTAATGAACTACAGCAGCATAGAGATCAAAAAATGTATCAGACAGGCATATCCGGTTGTCTAAGTTTACACCTTGCAACAGTTTGGTGCGGGTTTGTGAAGTTGGATCGTACCTAAAGTGTTTTAGCGTTAGAACCAAATGAGTAGGCGAAGAGACAATTTTAGTAATTCTTTGACCATCTGAAAATAATATTTGTGTATTAATATACATATAAAACAATTATTGTGTTTTACCTGTTAATCGTTGGCAAACATCGCACCGATACTGATTGTCACCGCAAAGTTTTTCAGATTCTAAAAAGTAGCCCAGCAAATCCTGTACGCTCGGGTTGGCGCAGTTTTGCGGAAATGACAGCTGCAAGTCGCGGAAATAGTCAAGTTTTTCGCTTTTCGTGCCGCAGGCTTCGCAATGGGACACTGTCACCGTTTGTCCGCCGAAAGACTGCTGAACTACAGTTTGACAGTCCAAGGGGGCTATAACAGCTGCAGCTTCTAGAATTAATACAGAACCTTATAGACTTTGAAGTGTCAAAGTTGGGAAATTATTGAAGAGAGATTTATAGAGGATTTATTTGGTTTTAATTAGAGCCTAATTTAGCTTAAATCGGATTGAAATTAACAAAGTTGTGGAGCAAAATGTGTGACTGTGCTGAGACGAATCAAATCAGCCCTGGAACAGTTCCGAATCAGCATCCAGTTTACGCTAGAACAATTATAGCCTGAAATAAGTTCAGAATATATAAGTCTTGTGTTCAAAACTGTTCTCAAATGATATAAGAACCCTCAAAAATCTGTTCCGGAGTAGGAAAAATAATGGCACCGATTAAAAACTTAATTTATATCAAGATTTTGGACAGAACGTGACTGTTCTAGAACAATTTTGAGTGCGTACGACATCGAATTGATTTTGAAATTGTGCCGAGACGATTCAAATCAGCCCCAGAACAGATCCCAATCATCAGCATCCAGTTTACTCTAGAACAATTATAGTCTGAAATAAATTCAAAAAATATTGGGTTTTTTAGTAATTCTACTCTGTGTGTTCCAATAGCTTTAATTTCTGTTTTATCGTTACTGTTCGAACTACTCTAATATGCTACTAAACAATGAATTTATTTGCTATAATAGTAGGCTGATAAGAAAATTAATTTAGAGTTTTTAGTAATTTTACTCTGTTCTAGAGTGGATTTGTAGAAGTACTCGGAAAGATTTAAGAACGGTGGAAAATACAGAGTGATTGAAGAATGTTTTAATTTATTAAAAAACCTTACTTTAGAGTGAGTTTTTAAATTCGTTTGGAACAACTCAGAGCAGCAAATCAAATGAGGAAAATGCCTTTTTGAAACACGTTTGACACCAATTTAAGGCCACAGCCGAAGAAAACATTCAAATTAAACACAGGGCTCCAAAAAACTATAAATGAAAAGCTCGCCTTGTAACTGTTCTAGAATGAGTTTTTAGAAGTACTCTGGATAACTTGGAACAATGAAAAATGCAGAATGACCTTTCAAAAAGTGTTTTGAATTATTTCTAATAAAAAGAATTTTGCTCCAGAGTGAGCTTTAAGTTGTATTATAAAGCTCAAAAATTCTTTTAAAAATAATAAAAAGTAGCTCTAAACTGCCCTTGCAGCATATAAAGTAAGTTAAGTTTTGTGTTTGAAACTGTTCTAGAGTAACAAAAGTAATGGCACCAGATCAAAAACTTGATTTATATCAGGATTTGGGACACAAAAGTGACTGTTCTATCCTAGAAACAATTTTGAGTGTATACGACATTGGACTAGTTCTGGAACTAGGCCGAGACGATTCAAATCAGTTCCAGAACAGTTCCAAATCAGCATCCAGTTTACGCTAGAACAATTATAGCCTGAAATAAGTTCAGAATATATAAGTTTTGTGTTCAAAACTGTTCACAAATAATACGTGTTCCGGAGTAGGAAAAATAATGGCACCGATTAAAAACTTGATTTGAACGTGACTGTTCTAGAACAATTTTGAGAATGTACGACATTGAACTAGTTTTAAAACTTGGACGAGACGATTTAAATCAGTCCTAGAACAGATTCGAATCAGCATCCAGTTTACTCTAGAACAATTATAGTTTATAATTTTACTCTGTGTGTTCCAATAGCTTTAAGGGAGGATTTTCATGCATCCGTTTTTCCGTCGAAATATGTCCGTTTAACATTCTATTCTGACATAATCGTATATAAATATGTCAAAATAGAATGTCAAACGGACATATTTCGACGGAAAAACGGATGCATGAAAATCCTCCCTAATTTCTGTTTTATCTGCACTAACTCTGTTTTATTTGCACTGCTCTGATTGTTACTGTTCGAAATACTCTAATATGTTACTAAACAATGAATTTATTTACTATAACAGTAGGCTGATAAGAAAATCAATTTAGAGTTTTTAGTTATTTTACTCTGTTCTAGAGTGGATTTGTAGAAGTACTTGGAAAGATTTAAGAACAGTGGAAAATACAGAGTGAATGGAAGATGTTTCAACTTATCAAAAATCCTTACTCTCAAGTGAGTTTTTAAAATGGTTTGGAACAACTCAGAGCAGCAAATGAAAATGAAAACAAAAAACTATAAATGAAAAACTCGCCTCGAAACTGTTCTAGAGTGAGTTTGTAGAAGTACTCTGGATAATTTGGAACAATGAAAAATGCAGAGTAACCTTTTAAAAAGTGTTTAGAATTATTTTTAATAGAAAGAATCTTGCTCCAGAGTGAGCTTTAACACTGTTTGGAACAATTGAATAGGATCAAAAAACAATAAAAAGTAGCTCTAAAATGTTCTAAACTGCCCTTGGAGCATATAAGGTTAGTTGGATTTTGTGTTTAAATAAAACTGTTGTAGAGTAGGAAAAGTAATGGCACAGATCAAAGACTTGATTTATATCAAGATTTGGGACACAAACGTGACTGTTCTAGAACAATTTTGAGTGTGTAATGGCCGTTTCCACCAACTATTTTAGGGAAGCCCTAACGATAAGTATTCCCTAAAATAGTTGGTGGAAACGGCCAAAAGACATTGAACTAGTTCTGGAAGTAAGCCGAGACGATTCAAATCAGTCCCAGAACAGTTCCGAATCAGTATCTAGTTTACGCTAGAACAATAATTATAGCTTGAAATAAGTTCAGAATATATAAGTTTTGTGTTTAAAACTGTTCTCAAATGATTTAAGAACCCTCAAAAATGTGTTCCAGAGTAGGAAAAATAATGGCACCGATTAAATATTTGATTTATATCAAGATTTTGGACAGAACGTGACTGTTCTAAAATAATTTTGAGTGTGTACGACATTGAATTAGTTTTGGAATTATGCCGAGACGATTCAAATCAGTACCAGTCTGCGCTAACTCTGTTTTATTTGCACTGCTCTGATTGTTACTGTTCGAACTACTCTAATAAGCTACAAAACAATACATTTATTTACTATAACAGTGGGCTGATTAAAGATTTTACTCTGACTGTTCTAAAGTGGATTTGTAAAAATGCTAGAGAAGACTTAAGAACGGTGGAAAATACAGAGTGAATGAAAAAGGTTTTAACTTATTAAAAAACCCTACTCTAGAGTGAATTTTTAAAATTGTTTGGAACAACTCAGAGCAGCAAATCAAATGAGGAAAATGCTTTTTCCTACGAGCGTGCGCAAAGTAGTACTTTTCCGCACGCATTTCCGGGCTCAAAGTTACACTTTTCCGCACTCAGTGCGGATACAGGCCTTATCCGCACTGAGTGCCGAAAAGTAATTATAATTGTCAAGCAACAATAAGTGCACCTGTCGACTTTGACACATGATGACAAATTTTTCCTCTGGTCCTATATCAGCCAACATCTATACAAACACCAGATATAAATTAACTTCGACACATTGTCAGATTTGTTCTCTACTTATATGCAAAAATCTACAAACTTTCTCATCAAATTTAAACGCTTTAAGATGAGCAGCTCTGACGAGGATTTTCTGTTATTTTTTTTTGTTATGTAATTTTTTGATAAATGCATAGGTTCCCTTCAAGTTAATTAAAAATAATTAAACAAATTATCGTTTTTTGTTTTTAATTTTTGTTATTACCTACTTGATATGAAGCTCGTAGGAAAAAATTTTGTTCCTAACACGTGCGCAAAGTGTCTTTTCCGCACGCAAAACACGTATCCGAACTCCGCTTCGCGTCGTTCGTATTACTGTGTTTGCGTGCGGAAAAGTAACACTTTGCGCACTTGTTAGGAAAATAACTATTTTGAAACATATTCGACACCAATTTAAGGCCACAAGCCGAAGAAAACAATCAAATTGAACTCCAAAAAACTACAAATGAAAATCTCGCCTCGAAACTGTTCTAGAGTGAGTTTGCAGAAGTACTCTGAAAAAATTGGAACAATGAAAAATGCAAAGTGACCTTTTAAAAAATGTTTAGAACTATTTCTAATAGAATCTTGCTCCAGAGTGAGCTTTAAGACTGCTTGGAACAATTGAATAGGATTAAAAAACAGTAAAAAGTAGCTCTAAAATGTTCTGAATCAGCCCTAGAGCATATAAGCTTAGTTAAGTTTTGTGTTTAAAACTGTTCTAGAGTAGGAAAAGTAATAACACAGATCAAAAACCTGATTTATATCAGGATTTGGGACACAAAAGTGACTGTTCTAGAACAATACGGAGTATGTATGACATTAGCTCTGGAACTGTACTGAAACGATTCAAATCAGCCCCGGAACATTTCCGAATCAGTATCCAGTTTACTCTAGAATAATAACAGCCTAAAATAAATTCAGAAAATATTGGGATTTTAGTCATTCTACTCTGACTATTCCAAGTGCACTGATCTTTTTGATGTGTTCAACTGTCCGAACTTAACTTTGACTGTTTTAAATTTATTTCATTTGCACTAACTCGATTTAAATTACTCTAATGGCCGTTTACACCGACCATTTTAAGGGAGGTTTAATGATAATCAACGTTTAAAGTGACATTTTTACATGTATTATTATTGTTAAACCTCCCTTAAAATGGTTGGTGCAAACGGCCATTATTATTCCATCTGATCGGCGTTCACTTGTCCCATATACAGGGTGTCCTAGCGGGAACCACATCGATCTATATGTGAAAAACTGTATGCAAAAAATTTTTGAAAATTTGACAGTATACTAATGTCAATGGGGGTAATTCGGCTAAAATATTTTCAAGATGGTGGCACTTAACCGGATGTAGATGTCAACTTGCTTATGTTAAATGAAACACCCTGTATATAATCACATATTTGGATTCTACATAAAATTCTGAGCAGATTTCATGTGATATACCTTATACCTAAGTTCAACTGTTTTGGAAATATTGACAGTCGAAAATTGACCGACAGGCTGTAAAACCTAAACGGTTAATTTTTGAGGAAAATTGATTTTACATTCCTATCTTAGATTTTCATAAATTATCATTTGACACCAACTTTGAATTTAATCCACGTGAAAAATGCTTAACGATGCTTATTTGATGTCATCTGTTATAGTTAATTGACAATGTCAGAAACCTAACCCAAATAAAAAAACACTTACCGTCAATACCGTCTCCACTAGCAAATCCATTACCAGCCAACGCGACATTCTTCTCCTGCTCATGCAACGTGTCCAGCAAAAAACCCAAAAACTCAGAACTGTCATGCTGATGTCCCAAAACAAACCCGGGAGGTCGCAACAGTGTCAAAATATCATTGGGCGACAGGCAAATTTTCTTCGAGTGTTGCAACAATGCAAATAAAACTTGCAATTTTGAAAACAAGGGCGGCATTAGCAAGTTTTGATGCAACAGCACGTTGTTTCTGAAGCATTTGGTCATATACAACGCCTGCAATACACTGTTCATGTAACAAGTGTTGCCCAAATTATAAAGGCCCACTTTCTCATTGGCCGATCTTGGGGCGGGTGGCAAAGGGGCGCTGTAAGACCAACTTTGACAGTTCAAGGTGTTTTTGTAGGGTATTACAAATGCGCTTAATGCTTGACGTAAAGGCTCATAAAGCTCGTCATAACCGGAAAAATGGTCCATTAAAGTTGAATACAAATTAACAAGGGGCAACAAATACTGGTCACTCAATTCATCTTTAGCCAAAATGTTTATGACCTTGGGAGCATCTGGTAGGATTTTATGGAAAACTTGAGGGCTATGCTGTACTCTAGTAAGCATATGATTTACTACTGGATACACGCAATACCGACTCGAAGGCAAAATCAGCAATTTAAATAAAGGTTCTATTGTGCTTAGAGTGACATCCACCAAGATGTCATAATAGTGCTCTTGTTCCAGACCCTTCATAAAGGCAAGCACTAGAGGACCTAAATTATCAGTCCAAGTCCACTTGGTCAACCAAGTGCATAGAGTGAAGAGGGCGCGTTCCAGATTTTGTTCTGGATAGTTGGCGTCCAAAATGAATTTTACAGCTCCTGGCAACATTTCAGTGTTGATAAGTTGTAGGACAATGGACATGACAGGGGTGGGGTTCAGGTGCGGATTGGAGATTTCGTCGTAGAGCGCCTTCAAAGTGACAAACATCACTTCTTTGTTTTCGTTGGCTTTCATTAGGATGGTTTGGACGCTTTTTACGTCTTCTATGAATTTCATGTAGGCCACTGGGTCATTTGGTACCAATACGGATCCTGAACAGAAAATATTGGATTATTGGAATTTGCCTTTGTTATGATGGCATTGATTTGCTACTTGTGAAATATTGTGGCGAAATCTTACCAAGGCCCTTAACAATTTGACTGTAAAGGTTGACGTGGGTTCCATCTCGGGCCTGGATGTCTTGCAATACCCTTAAGATGATTTGCAGTCTTACTTCGGTTGTTGGGGCTACTGGGCTGACAACGTTCTTTTGTTTAACTGCCATTTTGTTGGGGGTTTTTTACTGAAAACAAAAGGAAATTATATAGTCCCAAGTCCAAAGTTGAGTTGAGCCCGTTTAAAAAGCTCATTTTGGACCATTTTACATTTTAGAACTAAAAGTCAACCAAAGAATCTAAGAGCCTAGAATAGCAACAACATATAGGTACTTAAGTCTACTTATCTACTCCATTTTACCGTAATGTCTGCCTTTTAATTCTTAAATTTTTGTCTATTCTCGGCTCTTCGAAAACTTTTTAATGCAAAAAATCAGCAGGTCTTTTGTCCTATTTCAAAAAACATCCCAAACAGCAAAGGTTAGTCGTTATAACGTCAATTTTAAATAGATTTACGTCAATTAACCAAAATTCGATGTCAGAAAGAGGTTGCAAAATATGACTTGCTTGAGACGTCATGTAGTGGACATTTATTTGACCATGACATGAACCAACAGGTTCAAAAGTTACCATGTAAAACCCAATATGACCCATGAATTGGATGTATATTTAGTTAATGTGGATCGATTGGAAAATTATATATCTATATAGTAATAGTAATACCCCAAGAAACTCCATTGTTTATACATTCTCGTCATTCTCCGGTCAAGATACTCTGTAAATATAGTAATACCAATGCATATAATCTGATGCATAATAAGTATACCTACAGTGGATACCTACATAAAAAAATGATAATTGTTTTGCCCTAATGTAATAATGATTATTCTTAAAAGGTTTTTCATCAAATTTTCGAAACAATCTGAAATTGGTGTTCTGTGCATTTCAGCAAATAAAGATGAAAGGATTTGTTTATTTCAATATTATTATACCTGATGAATCATTATTGAAGTAAAAAAAAAAAAGGAACCAGGGTAATGTAAACAAGCTATTGTACCTTTCTTTTCTTATCTATTTTTATATTCGTCATTCCTAGATTCCTAGCTATTAAAAAAATAATAATTACCTAAGCAGATAAAGAATCAAGTGATCATAGCTGAAATGAAATGGTCACGCCTCTAATATACCTTGACCCAGTTATTTTGGAAGATATTATTGATATTGCTATATATGAACACTTTTTACTTCTGCATACTGACTGCTATCAGTATTCTGATTTCACCTTTCCAACCTATAGGGTTAAATTTAGCTGGTAATCTTCTTAATATTCTTGTCAATCATAGTTAAAAAATACAGGGTTCCCACGACGTTTTTCCTAGGTAATAACTTCGGAACGCCTCATCCAAAATAATTGAAATTTTGAGGATTTGGATAATTTTTTGTGCCGCTTCTACCATTGTCATCCAATTTCACCACTTTTGTTTCAATTTCGGTCAAGTGACATCAACTTCCGAATCTTAAATGTAAGTCATGGTATATTATGGCATTTTTCGTTAGAAAATTAAATTACAAAATCGGCAATGCCATATTTGTTAAGGCTTTGTTAAAGAAAATTATGAAAAATTATACAGTGGAACATATGATGATGAGTTCCGAAGTTATCATTTGGGAAAAACCTCGTGGGACACCCTGTATATTGTCAACTAGCTGCTTGGGAAAGGAGGACCCGGTATTCAACCTTATTAATTTAATTGCCGATTCGATCGAATATTTATTGCAATTCAGCAATAAATTAATATAAATTGCGCTGCAAGCCGCAGCAAAGGCAGACTTAAACCAGTGCAAGTACCTCTCGTTGGAAAAGCCCCTTTGGAATTAAGTCTCCCCAGTGCAAGTACCTCTCGTTGGGAACGCCCCTCTGGGTATCTTCAGCCTTATCGTTGTCCAGTGCAATTACCTCTCGTTGGGAACGCCCCTCTGGACAAGGCATAAGGGTGACGATAAACTTATCTACAGTCCCCCAAGCAGAATTGACGTGTGGCTCCCTATAAGGACCCCAGTGTACGAAGGGTCATGTACCTTATATAGGATTAGCATACATGTAAGGTTATATTTGGGAAAATATATAGCATATATTTTTATATAACCTGAGCGAGTTTCTCTCCATCTACCCCCAAAGCTACAAACCCCCCATGTCACCCCCGTAAAGCGGGTAGTTGTGACAATATGATATTGAATTTATGATTTATAATGTTCATATTTTATGTCATTTCCACCTTGATGTGAAAAATTTGGATAATTTCTCATCATTTCCACTCGAAAACTTTTTAGGTGAAATAAAACAAATAATTAGGTCACTTGTCAATCCCCTTGCTCAGATAATTCGAAGGTTGAGAGAAAAATACTTTGCTGATGGAAACGTTATTACGGAGGAAACCAGTCGTAAGCTACTGAAAGAACATTCTATGGGTCCAATCTTGGTCCAATATTGCAAAACATTTTAAAAAGTTGCATCTAGATTTCTGTATTCACACCTATTCTCATGCAAATTCCTATTTTATCGCAAAAGATACAATACTCTCAGAACACGATAGTACTTATAGGAAAACCATTTATTCTCACTATAAGTACCCCTTCGACTCTACTATCTTAGGTAGTTACTTTTTGAAAAATGTATCAAAAACAATAGGAGTTTGGTATATCAATGATATTTTCAAGGGGCGAACCACTTCGCGCAATATTGCCACAAATTCAGCAGAAATCCCGCGAAATCCTTCAAAACCCCCAGGAAAACTCCTGATTTTGATATATATTCACTAGAGAAACTGTAGAGTACGTACTTATATAATATGATGAGTCAGAAGTGGCGTGGTGATTTGTCAGGGTGAAGAATGTAAATGTAAACAGGGGATTGAACTTAGTGGATGTTTAGCTTAGCAAGAAAGCGGTCGAATTAATAAATATATTTACTGTTGCGAATAAGAGTTTTATTTATAATATTGGAGTATATTACAGAAAAAATCACCTATCTTAACACTATTCATTCTCCCCATCAAATAGGATTTAAACAAATTGAAAGCTTTTCTTGAGAACCCAAATTCAACAAATTTATTCAAGGGAACACAGTGATTCATCTTATCAAATTCCTTCTCACAATCCGATAACAGAACATCCAACTGCCCCCTGCCTCAACAGCCATTGCAATTTGCTCAGAGAGTATACACAGGTCTGATAAAGTGGATTTATCCTTTACAAAACCATGCTGAAACCTGCTGATTTTATATTTCACACATTCATATATTTTCTCCTAAAGAATGTTTCCAAAGGTTGTAACCAAGCTGTTTAACAAACTAATAGGGTTTAGCACTCAGAATAACATTCTTTGCATCTTTTTTATGAATTAGAGAAATAGTTGACAATTTTAACACATCTGAAAAGCATTCCTGCTCAACTGACATGCCAAAAAGATAAGCCAAGGGTTCTGCCAATAGTTCTGCACATCCCTTATACAGGGTGTAAAAAAAATAGTATACCGGACTTCGAGAGGTGATACTACATATGAAAATAAGAAAAAAAAAGTTCCTATGAACATATGCCCTAAGATGCTTTTTTGTTTTGTGAGTAACTACTTTCTACCCTTATGGAATCTACCTTTTCAGAACTGTTACGACTTTTTTACTATCACCATTTGCTTCTGCATCGAAATGTATGCAAGAATACCAAATTTCAAGGAAAATAGTTTGCTACTGTTGTAGATGAAAATAAATAAAATTTATTATTTTCATCTACCGTTTGAGGGGTTGTAACTACTTTAGGGAGCATCTTAGGGCATAATATGTTCATAGGAACTTTTTTTCTTATTTTCATAAGTAGTATCACCCCTTGAAATCCGGTACACTTTTTTTTTACACCCTGTATAAGATGGTATTCCATCATGGCCGGTGGATTTCTTGGTTTCTTATACCACTGATTACATCACTCTTAATGATGTTTCCAAAGTCAAAAGTGCCCCATTCTTCATTTTCACAATGATAATTAGAGAGATTTGAAAAATCACCTTCAGTTTGATCACTTCCAACTGATGGCCACTCAAATCTTTATGTACCTATTTGAAAGAATAAAAAAATTATCAGTGATAATATTTGCAAGCGCCAGAAGTGTCAAAAATGTTATTCCCGATGATATTTCCAACATATAGCACTTCACAATCATGAGAAATCCTTTGCAATCATACAAAATCCAGCAAAATACAAAATTCCTCAAAATGGCTCGAAATTCCTTGCATTTTTGCGAAATCATGTGAAATTTTGCAAAATTCCGCGCAATCATGTGAAATCTCGCGCAATCATGTGAAATCTCCCATTTTTCGCAATCCCGTCACATTTTCACCCTAGTGATTCACCCCTGGGATATTTTAACAAAATGTTTACTTATTCTTGACAAACATTTTGGCAACATGGTGTGTTTTCCCCTTGTGCACACTTAGGCATAAAATTTTTGTATGTCATTGACAATATTACATTTTTTATAAAAATACTTGTACATAGCCCCAAAAAAATACCATAAACAATATAATCTATCATTTCAGTCAATTTTTAATAAAAATTAAGAGAAAAACACGTGTTGGTTTGTGAGATATTTTCCCAATATACACGAGGCATGCAATGTGTTAAGGCTATTATTTCTCAGAAACTATAGGTCCAAATGAAATGAAATTTAATAGGGTTTGTAGTCTTCTACTCGGATAAGAATCGCTGAAAATTTCAGCTTTCTATCTATAATAGAAAGAAAGTTATGATTTTTTAAAGTTTTCAAAAATCTAAATCATAAGGTAGTACTTGCCTACATACTAATATGATGAAATTTCAAATTTCATAATGTTGAGATTTGATGTCTAAATAATCATTCGGGAACCCCCAATTTCTATACATTGAATTATTCCAAGATTTGAAACCGAAATCTATGAAAAAAGGCACTCAGAAAAATTGAAAAATCACCCCAAATTGCTTAACACGATTTTATTTCTGAAACTATACGTCCAAATGAGCTTGGGGGATTGTGGTCCTCTACTGGGATAAGAATCACTGAAAATTTCAGCTTTCTATCTTCAATAGAAAAAAAGTTATGACCTTTCAAAGTATTCGAACATCTATAAGCTACCTTCCTACTAAAAGGATGAAATTTAAATTTTTTTTTTGTTGAGTTTTGTGTCCTAATGGTCCTTTGGGACCCCCTCAACTCCATACATTAAATTATTCTCAGATTTGAAGCTGAAATCTAGGAAAAAAGGCACTCAGAAAAATTGATAAATCACCCAAAATTGCCTAAGGCGATTTTATTTCTGAAACTGGAAAAAAAAATTATGATTTTTCAAATTTTTCAAAAATACAAATCCTAAGGGGAAGTCTTCTTATTAGGTTCCTGAAAGTTAGTTCTAAAGTGTCATTTGACAATTTTTAAGACAATCTTAAAGTTTCCAGTTCTAGATTGTTCCCAAAAGTTCCATATTATGATTTGTAAAGTGTTCCAAAAGCTTTCTAAACTGTTGCCGAAAGTAGAGAAGTGTTCTGGTCTGCTCTAGAATGTCTCTCAAATTCTAAATTGATTCTAAAGTGTTCTGTAACGTTTCACACTAATCTTACAGATTTCAATTTGTCTCAAACAAATGCAGGAGGATTGACAATTGAATCGAAAATCTTCTGAAGCTCATCAAAGTTCTAAATTGCTCTAGAGCGTCTTAAAATACTTAAAAGTGTTCTAACTTGGTGCTAGCGCATTCTGAAAGTTTTCAATTGGTCCCCCAACTATTCTGAAGCGCCCAGATATTCTAGAAGTTATGCGAAATCTTACAAATGTTATCAAAAACCCAAATATCCACCATCAAAATTCCAATTCTCTATCCACTATAATACAATTAGCCAATTTTTAGCCAACCCTGAAAATAAACAGTAACCGGACAGAACAGAACATGAATGAATACAAATACCATAAAACAAAGCAGAAAGTGAAAATACAGAACAAGGAAAAAGGAGAACTATGACATTTATCCTCTATTTTCTCCTTTTGTTCTCATTTCTCAGAGTCCTGTTTTATCAAGGTTCTCCATTTCAATGGTCTTTCTTTTCTCGATTCTGTTATGTCATGGTTCTCTGTTCTCCTGGTTCTGTGTTATCACTGTTTTGTTTCTCCATGTTCTGTTCTTTCATGAAACCATTGAACCTATACTAGTGTGTACAGTAGGTATGTAGAATAAGTACTATATGCAGAGTAGTAGAAAAAAATGCTTCCTTGGCTTGTTTTTCTGCCTGACAACAGAGTGCAAGGAATTTGCTGATCATTCTCGTTTTTCAGCTTGAGAACAGAGTCCAAGGAATTTGCTGATTATTCAAGAATAAATAACCGACATAAAGGTGTTTGGAAAACATTTCTACGAACATAATCTGACTCGACATTTTCGTATCTTCCAAAGCCAAAAACTAATTGACAACAATTAATCACTCTCTGACTCAACAGTCACAATTTTTTTTTAGCAATAAATAAATAAAATTCAAGTTGCTTACCTTCTTCTACTACAATATAACCTTTACCTCAAATCAATGTCATATCCTGTAAAGGGAGTAAAGGGACGGCGTCGGAAACTGGATTCCACCCCCGAATGCTATCGCTACGAACGTTCCGTTTTACTTGGAATTTGAAATTAAAGCTAATTTAAAATGAATTTTCCCTTTTTAGGAAAAATTTTAAGGGAAAAGTTTATGATGAAATTTTTCTACAAAGGAAGGAATTTTCGGTGACACTAATTGACAATTAACAGTTGCCAGTGTCACTGTCAGTAGTGTCAGTAGAGTAGAGTGAAAAAAGTGGCATTTCCAAGAAATCACCAACACTTTGGCTGAGTTTGGCTTTGCACTCCATGGAACGGAACGGTACGAGCATGGATATCGTGACGTCATAGGCCGTCATAAGCCAAACGCAAAAGAAAACACTCTGAGCGTTAAAAGGAACAGGATCTTATCGTTTCGAGCGCGCTTAGAGCTTGCAGAGTGTAAAGCCGAATTCAGCCTTTGTGAAAACATACATAAACTTTGTTTGTTTATTTGCATCAAGCGACACTTTCTAGAACGAACAAGTTCTATAAGCAGATGTTTCCGTTCGTTAAGGTTTGTAGCCGCAAAAACTGCACTAACCTTGCATTAGGTATTTTGTATTTTGCTCAAAGAGCAGAGCGTGCTGAGTGCAGCCGTTGAATAAAGCATTTGTACGCCTTATAAGAGTGCCAGAAATTTTAATAAACGAACGCGAATGCGGAATGAACCTGCACCGCGTACACTTTTCAAATAAACGAACGGTAAATTCAAGCTCGGAGAACTCAGATCAAAATACCGAACGCACGGTAAGTCGCAAGGTGTTGTCGGTTCGAAAAGTGTGAGAGTGGAAAAGGACGAAAACTGCTAACCACCTACCTCCACAAATTATTCGTTTCAAATTCTTCAATATTACATGTTTTGTACCCATTCTAAATCCAGTGCAGCTTGATGTAATTTTGGTGCAAATGAACCAGTGCAACAGTCATTTAACATTCGGTCCAAAGTGTCGGTTCGAACTGCACTAGAGTTATTTTCCAACGAAAGAGAACAACAAATAATTGTTCTCGGATAGGTTTTATGTAGGTAATCCATTGAGTTCGGTAATCCGAATCATTTTTTATAATCTCGAGACTATTGTATGGGATTTACTTGAAATTGTAGATCAGAATACACTAGTAATTGTATGTATTATTGAGCTACCAAACGTCAATTTTGTATTAGCAGAGTACTCGGTTTTTGGAACAAAATACTAGTTGCTTACGATCGAACCATATTTTTTGACCTAAGTTTGCGTTTTCGATTTCCGTTAGTCGATCAGTGTGCACTGAGTGCATTGGCATGTTTTTCTAAAAGCATGTGATATATAAATGTTTAAGTTGTATTCCTTTCACACCTAGGAGGAGCTCCGGAACAGCTCCGGGGCGTTACGCGCTTATTCCTTTCGAAAAGTGTTTGTTGCACTATGCGCATGTCTTCCTTTCAAATCGGAGCGAGTAGCTTGAGTGTTCCAAACAACTATTAAAGGGGGTATGCGCCAAAAAAACAACTTCATCTTAAAAAAAAGAGAAAAAAAATCTAAGAATAACAGTGAAATCCGCACCCCTCTATGACAAATAATACCGCAGATATGGCTCTATGAAGGTACCGCATCTCACCCTATGACGTCACGAAAGTTCAAGCGACGCACGAGAAAGTGGATTTAATTAAATTTACGTAATGTTTTTCCTGTGTTACCTGCAATAATCTAAACAAAAACCACTCACGCGTGTCGGGCACAATCAAATTAACAATGCAGAGCGCCGCTGGACGAAGTTTTCGTGACGTCACGAGAGCGTCGTCCACACTTTAAAGCGGTATATCTCAGCGATGGTTTATCGTAGAATAACGAGGTTTGAAGTTATTCTTAAATTTTTTTACACTAAAACTTTAATTTTTGGCGCACACCCCCGTTAAAGGTGGGTTCGGCTTGCTCACTCCGTGCACTCCGAGTGACTCCATTCGCACTCCAGCCGTTCGGGTATTGCTTTTTACCGTATTAGGGGTGAGAACCCAGCTTGGGATAAAAATACATTTTTTTTGCTCTGATTCTGCAAATGGAAATCGCTATCAGTAATTTCTTCAAGTAGGAGGAAAGTGGTTTGATCGTAAGCAACTATATTTAGAGTGTTAATTTATCATTTGTACTGCTTTTCTTGCTTCAAGCAGATTTCAGCAGCAGATCAGCGTTCACTTATCCCATATAAATATATAATCATAAATAGCAGCTCCTAGCAAACTTTCCTGATTTTTCGAGCAGGCGAGTAGGTAGAGCAAGTACAAATGAACACCCTTATTTATATAGTTTCACTAGCGGATCGCATTCTGAACCTGTTCCGAACTAATTCAAGAGTCTCAAATCTCTAAAACCAGTGTAAGTAGTTCAGAATCGATTCTGAACAGATTTATAACGCTCTATATTGGCGACCTTCCTTTATTAAATTCCCCAAAAAAAAAAAACTAAACTCAACTAAAACCCATATGGTTTTAATTTAAGATATCACATTTATTTGAAAGTAGTTTGGTAGAGGTTGTAAAGGTAAAGATTAGTACAAAAAAAAACCGCTACAATCGACGCGAATTGGATTCAGTTGACGTAACTATGCAGTTTTAAGTTGAGTTCGGAATAGGATTTTAATGCGGTGCTCTTGTAGTGCAGGGTTATATCACGCAATGAAGGTGTAATCGGCGGTGTGACACCGAAAACACCATCATTTTGTACCGAGTAAACGGTGTTCCACCATCTTTATACCATTCGGGCACCAAATTATCTCCCAATGCAAATAAAGTGTACACCAGACTTAAGCCTAGTACTCATAGCTGCGAAATTCGCATTTTTTTGACATTGCGTTGACAATTTGACGTTTTATGCGTGTATCAAACGTCAAATTGTCGAAGCAATGTCAAAAAAATGCGAATTTCGCAGTTATGAGTACTAGGCTTTATTCCTACCAATTACCGAACGCTACAGTGTCAATAGTGTAAAAAGTGTCGACACTTTGTACCATTCCGAACTCATATATCTTTAAAAAGCAGTTCCGTCAGTTGAAAATCTCAAAAGATTAACATTAGGAAATTGGCATTTTGTTCTTATTTTTATTGAAAAGGGGCTCTGTTTGGACCCAAAAAACTTAAACCAAGCTTAAGTTTTTTGGATCATATAAAAACAAAATGCCCATTATGATTTCAGCAAAAAATTGTCTTATATAAGTATAAATTTTTACAGTAAATTTACAAAATATACATAAATTTTATACATAATTACATATTATTTTGTATTTAGAGCAACGCAACATATTATTTATTTGGTCATGAGCCTGCTCTGAACTCTTTAAAACAAAGTCAATAAATTGTTCGGGATCAACTCTACAATTAATCTATACACATAAGTCATAAGTGTGCCATATCACAAAGCAGTCTCTAACAGCCCTCATACGTTTATAGTCCTGCCACTTTCAACTGCACTAGAATCGATCAGCGGAGCGGTATCCGCTCCTTTGACGGGACTGGATTTCGGTTCCGACCACGTCGTAGTCATTTCGGCGCTGTCTCCAAATTTGACGGATTTTCTTGGACCTCTATTAACAAGAGCCGATGGTACATCCAAACTGTTGGGCGGTCCCATAGCTGTGGGCGAATGCGTTGGGGTAGCTTTTTCGAAGTAGTTTAACGGTTTGCGAGTGTGCGAGCTCAAGTAACTGGTCGCTGTCGGCTGAGTCGTACTGTATTGGATGTTGGGTACCTGGAATAATTTTCAAATAGTAGGCCATCATTATCTGTCAATCTTGTCATATTTTTGTTAACGATCGAGCAGAGTTAAAAGAGAACGCTACAAAATTTACTCTGCAACTATTCGGCATTTTAAATGTAAACTTTCATAATAAAATTAAAACTAAATAAAGTTTGCTTAGCATTAGCATTAAACTCTGAGCTGTTGTGTAAAGTTTAAACGAAAAGTTTAAAATCACGGTAGATAAAACTTTATTTATATATAGACAAGAATGATATTGTTGTCAGATTTACCCTCATAATTTCGTCATCGATAGCTCGACCACGTCCGGCTTTATATTCTTGATACTGCGATATCACACATAATAAGGCATACAGCTAGAAAAAAAATAGATTGCACTTTTAGAATAATCACAAAAATTATTGTACTTACGTTTAAAGTATTCAAAAAAAAGTCCATAGTAACTAAAATGGCCACAGACGGATTCCATTGGAGCTAAAAACCAAAAAAGCTATATAAAATATAAGTATGTTTTATTAGTGATTTATTACCGCGTGAACAATTAAACCATAAACAATGTAAATTATATCTATGATGGTGAAAAAGGCCATGTTGAAGATCCAAGGGATAAGGAGATATTTGATGTCTTTGTAGAGTCCGCAGAATAGTAGCAGTGTCGTGATGACTCCGCAAGAGGAGAAGGCGAAGATCAGGGCAGAAAATACTGCTGAAGCTGGAAAAAAAATCAAAATTAGCTGTAACGGAGTATGACTAAATGAAAGCGCCTAATGTTGACAATTGAAATTAGCGCCATGTGTCAGTAATAATAATAAAAAGTTGTAGTAGGCCAAGATTCTGTGTTAAAACTGAATTTTTGCGAGGAATGTGATCCAAAAACGAATCATAAGTTGGTTTTGTGACGTCACGAGTTTGAACGCTGGCTAGAAAATGCGTCCTTGCTTTCGACAAACTACGTTCAATATGACGTCATAAGTTTCCCGCGAAAGCGGTTGTGTTCTTGAAATCATGGAAGTAGTTCGTCGCAAAAATTCGGTTTTAGGTTCCTTGAAAAAAATTTAATCTGTTAAGGTCGGTTTACACTTTGATTAGTAGCAAGTGCAGGTGTTCAGTGTTAGTGTTTAGTTGTCGAATGGCATATAATATTGACAGTTGCATTGTAGAGGGCGATTCTGTACTTGTACTTTTGAAAGGAAGAGATACGTGGTGCCAAAAATGATACACCCGTACCGGATTGCTTATCGTCCTCGTTTTTGGTATTCGCCGCCATATTAGTGTGTCACCATTTTCGACGTCATAACTAAGTCGTCAGCTGTTTAAACAGCCTACGTCAAGGCGAAAAATAACATGCTACCTTCGTCACAACTGTTGATTTGGCCTATGGAGGCGAAGGGGGGATTTGTTTAACACAGGCCCTATGACTTATGAGGATAGGCTATCCTGTAGTAGTTGTTTGTCAGAGTGTTCTGACGTCATCACTTGAAGTGCACTCTGGGTGCGCTATTTCTGAACGTATCAGGGCGTTCAGGTAAATGTCAAAGTCAAACCCGGTAAAAACCGCAGGGTGTTTTTCAACCTAGTCCCTGAAGTGGAGTAGTTTGGGCACACTCTGGGCACGTCAACTCTCGATTTCTGAACGATTCTAGCGTTACGCTCCGAGTAAGCACCTGTTAATTTATGAACGGTTTAGAGTTACTCTAGGGTCACTCTTACACCCAGAGTTCTATTTCTAAACGCAACCCTGTATTTGGAGATTTTTAAATTGTAGTGCGTAAATAACCGAGTGTAATTTTAGTAGGCTGATTTGAAAATTAATTTTGGGTTTTCAGTAATTCTACTCTGACTGTTCCAAGTACATTGCTCCAATTTCTATTCCATCTACTCTCACTCTGTTCTGTTTGCACTGCTCTGATTTTTACTGTTCGAACTACTCTAATGACAATGAAATTATTCACTATTACATTAGGCTGATTTGAAAACTAATCTTGGGTTTTTAGTAATTCTCTAACTCTGACTGTACCAAGTGCACTAGCTCTTTTTGATCTATTCAACTATCTTAACTACTTTGACTATTTTGATTCTCTTCCATTTGCACTAGCTCGATTTAAATTACTCTAAGTATTCCATCTGCATTAATTCTATTTGAATTCCTTTCATTGTTCGAGTTACTCTAAGTGTTCCAATTGCTTTAATTTTTGTTTCTTCTGCACCAGCTCTGTTTTGTTTGTACTGCTCTGATTGTTACTGTTTAAACGACTCGATTATGCTACTATTCAATGAATTTATTTACTATAACAGTAAATGGATTTGAAAAATAATTTTGGATTTTTAGTAATTCTACTCTGACTGTTCCAAGTGCACTGACTCTATTTGATCTATTCAACTGTCCGAGTTTCTTTAAGTGTTCCAATTGCTTTAACTTCTGATGCATCTGCACTAATTCTGTTCTGTTTGCACTGTTCTGATTGTTACTATTCGAACTACTTTATCATGCTACTAAACAATGAATTTATTCACTATAACAGTAGACTGAATTGAAAACTAATTTTGGGTTTTTAGTTGTTCTACTCTGTGTTTCAAGTGCACTGACTCTTTTTGATCTTTTCAACTGTCCGAACTTCTTTGACTGTTTTAATTCTGTTCCATTTGCATTAATTCGATTTAAATTACTCTCTACCTGTATTAATTCTATTTGTATTCCTTCTACTGTTAGAGTTACTCTTAGTGTTCCAATCGTTTTAATTTCTGTTTTATCTGCACTTACTATGTTTCATCTGCATTAATTCTATTTGGATGCCTTCTACTGTTCGAGTAACTCTAAGTGTTCCAATTGCTTTAATTTCTATTCCATTTGCAATAACTCTCTTCTGTTTGCACTGCTCTGATTGTTACTGTTCGAACTACTCTAATATATTTCTAAAATATGAATTTATTCACTATAACAGTAGGCTGATTTGGAAATTAGTTTTAGGTATTTAGTAATTCTACTCTACTCTGACCGTTTTCTGACTTTTTTTGATCTGTTCAACTGTCCGAACTTTCTTGACTGTTCTCATTCTGTTCCGTTTACACTAACTCGATTTAAATATTTAAGTTACTCTAAGTGTTCCATTTGCATTAATTCTATTTAAACTTCTTCTATTGTTCGGGTTACTCTAAGTGTTCCAATTGCTTTAATTTCTGTTTCATTTGCGCTGACTCTGTTCTATTTGCACTGTTTTGATTGTTACTATTTGAACTACTCTATTATATTACTAATTAATGAATTTATTCACTATAACAGTACACTGATTTGAAAATTAATTTTGAGTTTTTAGTAATTTCACTCTGATGGTTCCAAGTGCACTGACTCTTTCTGATATGTTCAACTGTCCGAACTTCCTTGACTGTTCTAGTTCTGTTCCGTTTGCACTAACTCGATTTAAATTACTCTAAATGTTCCATCTGCAATAATTAATTCTATTTGAATTTCGTCTATTATTCGAGTTACTCTAAGTGTTCCAATAGATTAAATTATTGTTTCATCTGCACTAACGCTGTTATATTTGCACTGTTTTGATTGTTATTGCTCGAACTACTCTAATGTGTTACTATATAATAAATTTATTCACTATAACAGTAGACTGATTTGAAAATTAATTTTGGGTTTTTAATAATACTACTCTGACTGTTTTAAGTGCACTGACTCTTTTTGATTTATTCAACTGTTCGAATTACTTGGACTGTTCTAATTCTGTTCCATTTTCACTAATTACTCTCAGTATTCCTATCTGTATTAATTCTATTTGAACTCCTTCTACTGATCAAGCTACTCTAATCGTTCCAATTGCATTAACTGTGCTCTGTTTACACTGCTTTGATTGTTATTGTTCGAACTACTCTAATGTGCTACTAGACAATGAATTTATTCACTATAAAAGTCCGTTGATATTAATTAAAATCACGCCAGTCAAAGCTCAAGAGCCGATAATAATAAAAATTTTGACTACTCATTAGCAGCTCTTGGCGCCTGAATCTGAATGAAAGTAGCGCATGAGCACAAATTTTATGTCTTTGTCACTTATATGAGATTTTGCATTGAACTAAGAAGGACAGAATACTGATTGTCCCGCTCTCTCGTTTCGAGAATCAGGAGCCCAGGGACTAGAACTCTGTTATGTTATGGTTATGGCTATGGCACTTGCTATGTTTTTCTCTCTTTATCAAAATCAGTAGAGAGGGGACGCCAATAGAGATAGAGAAAATATCTGTATTTGTTACGACAAAGTCCCAGCCCTATGAAAAAAGACATTTACCGGTCCTTTTAATTTTGACAGTTTTGTCAAATTACAGTAAAATGTTGCCTTTTATAATGGCTTGCGAAGCTGGTGCAATTTTTTTAATTTCTATCTTTTTCTTCTACAGATCAATAAAAAAGATGTAAATACACTCGTGCTAAAGTTGATGGAAAACTGTCAATATGGCGCTTGACAATTAACATGTCAACAATCTAGTTGGCCATCCATGGAAAATGATTAGTAATAACTTATTATGTAGATGGCGTTAGTAAAGGGCATTCAACGGACGTACTTATTCAAAAATAAATTGAAAAAATATTGAATTTAGCTTATTTTCGATTTTTGAAATTTTCCGGAAACCGGAAACGCTGCACATCAGAAAAAAGATAATTGTCCTCCTCCGCCACTTTACTTGTTTGGTTACTGAAAACTGACTCTAGGCCTATTCCGAAACGCCTGATCCGATTACCCGGTACTATTTGTCTTTTTTCAATTGTGTTCATCCAAGAAAGATAAAAAACCGAACAGCTGGTGATCGGGTTTATCGGATCAGTGTTTCCGAAAAGGCCAACTATAGCTTTGTTTTGGTTCGAAAAAAGGACGGTTCTAGAACGGTCCAAAACAATCACACAGTTTATTATTGAAATTTTTGATAGCTGAGCCGTTGTCATTTTGTTGATTGATAAATTGTGCGACTGTTTTGAACCGTTCTAGAACCGTCCTTTTTTCAAACCAAAACAAAGCTATTGAGTGCATTCAACGAACGTGACACTAACAATATAGTTGGCCATGGAACAAAAAGATTAATTGAGCGTGCCGAAAATCGTGATAAATCTACTCCGTGCAAAAAGATGGGCAACGATAATGTATGCAAATAACCGAGCAAATAACCCCATAAAACATGCAAATATTTACTCCCTCGATCCGAATTCAGGCTATCGTCGACTGTTGAAAAGGGGCCTGTCATTGCAATAAATTTTCCCTTTTTTAAAATAAATTCGATTGTCATACTTAGGACCGGTTTATCAGTGGTTAGCTGTTGGTTAACTAATAATTATTATTGGTTAACTAGATAACCGTTCACTGATAAACTGTGCCTTAGAAACTCAAAATTATTCTGTAACTAAAAGCCGATCCGAAACTTAATCAGATGAGAGAGGAAAATATCGATTCGAAAGTTACCGGGACGTAAAATTCCCAATTCCGCCACTTCCTTCCGACAGGCGAAAAAGAATAAGCCCTTATTAATTAATTAATTAATGATCAAATTTAAGTCAGACGTCAGAGGGTTGAGGCTTAGAGCGGAAGTTTCCGATTTTGACGCTGGAAATAGATTAATTTTAATTTCATTGCATAATTAGTAGTATAGCAAAGGGGGTTTTGAGACATCAGTTCAGGTTCCTAGAACTATCCGTAGGATAAAAAGATGTTTGTTTTTAATACTTGAGAGGCATTGGATATTGCACTGAGAGGCTCTTAACAGAGTCAAAAGATTTTTCTTATAACTATTTTCATTATTTAGAGATTCTACTATGGAACTGGAACTTATAAATTGTTGATGAAAAAGGCTGTTAGGCACTCAAAACCTTTATAAGCATTTCAATTGTCAGTCTGTAAACAAATTCGACTAAAATTATTACCAACTAAAAAAAAATTATATATGTATACAAAAGCAAAATACAGAATAATTTAATTTTCATTGTGTCTGAACGCGAACAAGAGCTCGAACCCCAATTTGTTTGAGTTTCCAATACCCAATGTTTATTAACGGGGCTTCCCATAAAGTTTTTAAGGCAAGTTATCGGGACATTTTCGTTTATTGTGTGTCTCGAAGCCCTATAATATAAACTCCAAGGACAAATATGGAAAATTTTTACTCACTTTCGCTGGTGATATCGTGATCGATCATTGACTGATTGGATATATTTTTTAAATAATTGATCTCTTCGTGTAGGAGAAATGACGACTGGGCTGCGTTCAGTGTGTAATAAAT